GCCCGCCTCCCCAACTCCCAAACCCCACTCTGAGCACGGGCTGTACTTCCCTTAGGTTCACCCAGGTTTGAGCTGATCCCATGTGATGAAGTGAGATTCCAGGAGTGGCCCAGATCTGCAGCATTCAATCTTTTTTCAGCTGCAGATGCTTTACCCCCAGTGAAGTCCGCTGTGGGGGTCCCAGCCGCCTCTGGGGAGGCCGAGCTGCAGAAGGCCGCTCTCCTCTCCCGGCTGAAATGCTGCCTGGTACCCCTCCGTAGGAGGCCGCCCTCTCTGGCTCGGTCACCAACGCGATGGCCTCCTCCCTGTGCTGTGTGCGCCTCGGGCCTCCCACTGCGGGCCCCCAAGGACTTCCCTCTTCCCTCTGTCCCTCCTCTTTGTGCCCTGTCCCACCAGTAACCTTTCAGTAGCAGGAACCACCCTCAGTGTTCCCTCCTTGCAGGTCCCAAGTCAGGCTCATCCGCACCAGACCCAGACCCCTCGTGGTCTCGCCCTGGACCATATACCTGGCAGCCACTGGCCACAGGAGGCTGCTGAGCACTTGAAATGTGGCTGACCCAAATCAAGGTGATATTCAAAGTGTATCCTATACTCCGGCTTAAAGACTTAACACAAAAAAGAGTGCAAAATATCTCATGAATAATTTTTGTAGCCATTACTTGCTCCAAATACAATCTTTTAGGTATATTGGGTTTAAGTATAGCTTATGATGCAAATTAATTTTACTTGTGTTTTCCTTCATTTCATGTGGCTACTTGTTATTGTTCAGTTGCTAAGTCATGCCCAACTCTTTGCAACCCCATGGACTGCAGCACACCAGGCTTCCCTGTTCTTTGCCATCTTCCAGAGTTTGCTCAAACTCATGTCCATTGAGTCAGTGATGCCATCCGACCATCTCGTCCTCTATCGCTCCCTGCTCCTCCTGCCCTCAATATTTCCCAGCACCAGAATCTTTTTCAATGAGTTGGCTCATCGCATCAGGTGGCCAAAATATTGGAACTTCAGCTTCAGCATCAGTCCCTCCAATGAATATTCAGGGTTGATTTCCTTTAGGATGGACTGGTTTGATCTCCTTGCTTCCCAAGAGACTCTCAAAAGTCTGGTCCAGCACCACAGTTCAAAAGCATCAATTCCTCGATGCTCAACCTTCTTTATGGTCCAACTGTCACATTCTTACATGACTACTGGAAAAACCATAGCTTTGACTACAAGGATCTTTGTCAGCAAAGTGATCTCTCTGCTTTTTAATATGCTGTCTAGGTTTGTCATAGCTTTCTTTCCAAGGCTACTAGAAAATTTAAAATCAGAAGAGGGGAAAGCTCAGATCTTAATGTCATTGGCATCTGGGTCTCACTGGTGAGAAGGGATGGGCCAGGACCACGTGTGTACGTCAGTCCTTCACTCTGTCTTCCTGCTGATTCTCTCTTAGAAGGTCTGCCCTGGAATCCACACTACAACCAGTATGCAAGTCCTTCCCAAACCTCACTTAGGTTGAGAAATTCTTGTTCCCACTATTAGTGTAACCTGGACCTTATTTCCCATGGGACCACCTAGGGGGGACGCTCATTCACACGGAGGTGTAAATGACTGACAACTGAGGCCCCCTCATTGGGAGGGAACCCCAGTAGGGGGTCCCAGGTCTGGGATGACACCAAGCTCTTCCCAGGCTAGCTGGCAGCCCATGCTTACTCTCTCTGGTCCAAGGTCCCGTGCAGATAGATAGCGCATCCTGCACTCAATGGACAAAAGGACCACATGTAGATAAGGAAGAAAATGGAAACCACACCTCCCGGGTTTCTGGAGGTCTGTCCCTATCACCAGAACTCTGCCCCGATCTCCTGGAGCGCACATCTGCATTTGTCATCTCATACTCTTCAACCATGAAGGAAGCAGAAATGAGTCCATCCTCACACTGCCTTCAGTGATGGCCAGGCCAGTGGAGGATAAGAATGAAGTACCAAGTTCAAGTCAAGAACCCTCAGAGAGCTGCTGGGGGCAGGGATGTCGAGACCAGCATACTCTGGCAGCAAAGGTCCAACACCCAGCCCTCCAGTACAAGTCCAGGTGACGAGGAGCGGCTCCATCAGCCAGAAGGGAGGAGAGAGGCCGAGCAGTGCAGCCGTGACTGAGAGCCAGATGGAGGCTGGGGCTCTGTCCTTCCTAAAGGTCAGGAGAGGCTGGCGGCCCATCAGTGGCTCACCTGGATGCTCTGGACCCAGTGGGTGGGTAACACTTGTCGGTGGTAACAGTAAAGCCAAGCCCCTGCAACATTTGGTGCCCCAGGCAGTTTGACATTTCTTTCTTGTTTTTTTAACATTGCTTAATCTCTATAGCTATGCAGGCAGGTGGGCGGAGAGCAATTCAGGACTGTTGTGTTTCTTAAATGAATGAATGTTGGTCTATCACTGTAACCCCCAGTTCTTACATTATGCGTTGAATGCATTGGACTAAGTGGAACTGGATAATCAGTCTACCGGGTTTGATTCCTTGGAGGTGTACAGAAACTTCGTGGGATATGAATTCATGGAGCTGCTGTGATGTAGGATGCTAAGGAGAAGGGGGGGACTCAGGGATGCAGGTGGGGACAGGACACAGGGGAGAGGCTGGGCCCGGCAGCCTCAAGTCATACCCTGCAGGCGCCCCCACACCTCTCCTGGACCCCACCACCACCACCACCCCCGCAGCACGCCCTCTCCCGCTGGCTCCAGCCTCCCTCCCAGTCCTGGAATTAATAAAGACTCTGAGCAGACTGCGGTTTGCGAGTCTGAAAGCCGGTTCCTGCCCACGTCACTGCCCTGAGAGGAGTGGGGCCCAGTTTCTCCCCAGCACCCTCATCCTTCCCCCTCCCCGGGAGGGGGCAGGCACTCAGATCCACTCTACCCCCTGGCCTCCCCTCCCTTCCCCCAGCAGGCACATCTCAGGCCCCGAGCCTCAGCCCCTAACCCTGAGCATCCCCTACCCTCAACAACAAGGGCTAGCTTGGGTTCATCATCTCATCAGCACCCCCGCCAAAGGACCCCCAAATAACATGCACAGGAAGTAAGAGCTGGACATTTGCTGTGCACACACAGCTTCTAGACAATTCTGCTAGCGTGCACGCCCACCGCCTTCCACACTCCTGGAGCAGCCACTGCCTGAGATCAGGGAGAGGACGGGGATAGCCCAGGATCCCAGGGTGACCCAGCAGAGAGCCAAGTCTAATGGTTACAAAGAGTGGGGCTTGCAGAACTAATGTTAACAGCAGCAGCACTGGAACTAAGAGTAGGGGACAGAGCATTGCGGAACTGCAGACACGGTACAGAAACATATGAGCTCATCTCACTCATCTTTGCAATAACCTCCCAGGCAGGAATATTTATCACCATAAGACAGATGAGGAACCCGAAGTCCTTTGAAGAGGTTACCCTGACAGAAAGTGCTCGAGCCAGAATTTTAGTCCTAGGTCCCACCAAGCCCAATGCCTGGCCTCTGGCCCCTGCAGTTACGGTCTCCCCTGCTGGCCTTGCTGACTGCCTCGGTGCTCCTGGCTGGAGAAGGGGTCCTTTAACTCCTGTCCTCAGACTTGTGGCTGAGTTCTCCTCTTAGCCTCCATCTGGGTGCAGGGAAAAGCTCTGAGAACTCACGGCCTTGACTTTTCCCTGTCATAAGCTGTGATGAAATCAGGTCCAGTTTCCCTCTCCTATCCTCTGGCCCCCAAATTTCTTCCCCACTTAGATGGGGAGGTGTGACCCCCTCGTTTCCCATCCCATCTCACCCCCTCAATCCCCACAGTCCCCATCCCGCAGTCAGGCGAGGACAACCCAAGTCCTTCTGGAAATGCTGGTCCCAGTTGTTTTAGCACAGGGCCTCCCCCTCCTGGCCACCAGAGGAACGTCAGTCCCGGCATTCTCCTGGGGCCAGGAGAGACCTGGAAGTCTGAGGGCTACCAGGCCTGGTGTGGGTTCTAGGGATGCTCAGCGTTGGGACAGGTGGGGGCCAAGTGATAAAGGTAGGGGATGTTGGGCCACTTATCAGTCTGAGTGGGCTCCCCCACCCCCCTGGTTCTCTGCAGGGCACCTGGGGAACCAGCCTAACCTTGACCAGGCATCATGGCCTGCATAAACCGCAAGGGGCTATACCTTCATCCATGACAGACGGAGCCCCTGCGATATATCAGAGTCTCCAATGTGACCCCCTGATGCCCCAGGGTCTCAACCCCCAGGCCATTCTGCCCGCAGCCACCTGGGCTCTGCAGACCTGGATCCTAGACCGACCCATCACCCCCTCCCCAGCCTCAGGCAGGAGGCTGGGACCTTAACCCACAGAGAATGGAGCCCTGCGGGGCGTCAGGGTCCCCTTCCCTGCCCCCAGATGCCCCACGGGGGCAGCAGCAACTCGATCTCACCTTCCCAGCCATTCTGCCCACAGCCCCTTGACCGCTCCAGGCCCGGGCCTGGATGGACCCGGGACCCCAGGTCTGACCAACAGCCCCCTCCCCAGCTTTGGCCTGTCTCTGGCCAGGTCTGGGGTTGCTGAGGGAGTCTGGAGGGCCGGGGTGGGGGCGCAGAGGCGCAGGACAGCTGGCCTCTGTCCCCACACTGGGCCCGGGGCCCAGCCGGAGGGGCGGGGGCCTGGCCACTCAGGCCTTGGCTGGGGCCGGATTTTTGGCCGGGCTGCAGGGCCCTCCCTCCTGCTTCCTCTCCCGAGGGCTGTCCTGGCAGAGGCCCCCCTCGCACTTTCTGGCGGGAACAGGGCCAGCAGCGAAAGAACAGCCGCAGAGGGAAAGCGGGAGAGAGATGGGGGGAAACTGTGTGTGTGTGTGTGTGCGCGTGTGTATGTGCGCGCGTGTGTTTTAAGGGAAAAAAAAAAAAAGAGTCCACAGTCCAGTCCAGTCAGACCCAGCCTGGGAGGCTTGCGAGCCGGCCTTTCGTAATTGCCCCCTCCCCGTGGCCCCCTCCCCGAGGCCTCCCCCTTCTCCCGCCCTCCTGCCCGCCCTCTTTCCCTCCCTCCTTCCCTCGCAGCCGACGAGGCAGCAATTACGCTTTGGGGATAAAACGAGGCGCAGAGAGCGGGCTGGGGCATTTCTCCCCGAGATGGCGGGTCTGACAGCTGCGGCTCGGCGGCCCGGAGTCCTTCTGCTCCTGCTGTGCATCCTCCACCCCTCGCAGCCCGGAGGTAGGCCTCACCCTGTTCCCCCGAAGGGCCCGCAGCCCTCGGGCCACCCGCTCAGGTGGCTGGACCGACCGACGAGAGGGCGCCCTGCACTCCCAGCACCCTCCAGGGGGGGTCCCAGGCAGGAGCCCCTCGGCCACTGGAACCTCAGAACCGCCCCTCCTGGGAGCCAGCCGTGCGGAGCAGAAACCTGTCGTATGTTCACCCCGAGACTCAGAATGGTCCCAGACCAGCGCCGGCTTCTGCTGCCCCGACAGAGCGGATGAACCTTGCCCTGTCCTGGGGGGCTCTCCCAAGGTGGGGGTCCCGAGCACACTGGGGAAGGGCCGGCGAGGTCCCGTCGGGTCTGTGAGCACCGGCGGTTTGCACACCTGTGGACCCGGTGGCTGTGCACTCGTGCCCCAGGGACAGGGGACCTGGGCTGGAGGCCAGCTTTGCGGCAGCGAGCTCTCTGACCTCGGCAGGTTCCTCGTCCCCAGGGAAGTCGGGACCCGCTCCGGGTGATGTCAGGGTTAAGTTGATTACAGGGCTGCGGGTTGGAAAGCTGCCGCTGTGGTCTGTCCCTGGTGAGAAAGGCTGGGACTTCTGAGCGTGTGTGTGAGTGTGTGAATGTGCGTGTGTGCATGAGTGTGTTACATGCTCTTGCCCAGGCGTGCATGGTCTGTAGGTGTCCAATCGTGTCATCAGATAGGGGAGGAGGTCATCAGATAGAGGACGAGGGGATGAATGTTCACAGGTTTATCCCTGGACAGGTGTGTGTGTGTGTGTGTGTGTGTGTGTGTTGGAAGGAGGGGTGTTATAGGATATATGAAAGTACCCATTAACCTGTGCAAAAGTCTGAACACAGAGGCGATCTGGTGTCCAGGTGTGTCACTGGGTGTGGTTTGTCATTGTGCATATGCGTGTGTGAGTGTGTGTGTGTGTGTGTTGGAAGGAGGCATGTTATAGGATATATTCATAGGATATGTGAAAGTGCCTGTTAGCATGTGCAAAAGTCTGCCACCCAACAGGCGTGCACACAGAGGCGATCTGGTGTCCAGGTGTGTCACTGGGTGTGGTTTGTCACTGAGTATGTGCGGGCATGTGAGTGTGTGCGTGCGAGTATGTGTGCTATGGAACACCAGCAAGGACAGTGAAGCTGGGGAAGGCATCCGTCTCCTGGCAGAGGGAGAGCCCAGCGTGCTGGGGGCTTGCACGAACCTGGGGGCACTCCCGGGCCACCTGGCATGTTCCCAGCCATGGTCCCGGAGGACACCCCCTCAGGGCTGCTACACCTTGGGGGGACTCTGGGAATGGTCCCCCAGCATCCCCGAAGGTGCTCCTGGCCGTGGGGAGAGAGAGGTGCAGGCAGCTCATGAACCTTTGGTGGGGTAGCCTGGGTGGGCTCTGGTTTCCAGGAGGGTCCTCTTTGCCATGAGAACCAGTGGGGGCCAGTGTCAGGATGGGGGGTGGGCTCCGGGTGGAGCAGGGCCAGGCCGGAGGGCAGGGGCAGCAGCTGTTTCCGTGAGATTGACCAGTGGGGCAGGACCGCTGGGAGCAGGGGCTTCCTGCGCAGAGGTCGGCTCCCGAGTCTGGACAAAGCCGAGGGATGCTGGTGCAGCATCAGGTGGGGTCCCATGGGGGACAGAGAGACCATTCCGGGGGAGCAGCTGTCCCCGGGCCTGAGATGGCAGCTCGAGTCCCATCTGCACCTCCTCCCCGGAGTCTGGCCCCTGGACACCTTCCTTCCCAGAGACGGCTCCCCGCTAGAGCACGGCATGTAGCTCCCGCAGGAACCCTGAGATTAAAGAATTTTTATCTACGCTCCACAAACAGGGAGATTGAGGCTGAGACAGGCTAAGGCAGCACCACGGGGTGAGTACCAGCCAGTTCATCCCTGGGCTAAACGATGAGGGCGGCAGGGGCCAGGTTCCAAGTGGCATTTGGGAAGGGGCAGGCCTGGGCTGAGTACTCTGGGGTGGGCCTGCCCTAAGAAGAATGCACCCTCAATGACCGGGCTAAATGTTCCCTGGCCCTGTTCTTTTTTTGCAAACATAAATCTCAGCTCTGTCCCGGATGGTAGAGTAGCCGGGTCCAAATAAGGGGTGTGTGAACTGATGAGGTCTTCTGAGGTTTGTGCCCAGAGCCTCCCAAAGGAGGCCCCCCTCCCACACGCACATGCTCACACAAGCACGCACGCACTCACACCTGCCCGGCCACCCTGAGGGATGTCACCCTCATGGGTCCCCCAGTCCCAAAGAGCCATGTTGCCAATGGAGACAAAAAAGGGACAACCCAGGAAGGCTCTGCGATGGAAGGGTTGTCTGGACCCATTTAAGATGGGTCAAAAGTAGCTTTGAAGATCATTTGCCCCAGACTCCCTTGCCATTTAAAGAGAGAGAGAAATTAAATCAGTTATAATTGGGACCAGCTGCCCCAAATCCCCAGAAATTTTATCATTTTAGCTTTGGGTGGTTTTTCGGTTTTGTTTTTCTGATTTCGGAACTGAAGATGGTTTTGAAACAGGGATTTTTTTTCAGTCCTGGCTGCTATTGGAATTACACAGGGAACTTGAAACCATTCTGACATGGGGTCTCACCCCAAAATTCTGGCTTTACTCGGTCTGAGGAGGGACCCAGATGTGTAGGCCTTGTTAAAGCCGCCGCCCAGGTGATTCTGAGGGGCCTCCAGGGCCTCGGACCCCCAGTTTAGGGGTTGATGCTGCTCTCTGAGTCTGCTGGGGCTGAGGCAGGAAGGCAGGCGTGCCCGAGGGGAGGGAGGGGACAGACTCAGTCACTGGAGGGCGGATTGTTTTTGAAAAGCCCTTGGCAGCCTTTCTCCATGCAAACAACAAACAGCTTCGTGTGGTCTTATCTGCTCCCCAGGCCAGCCCCCATGGACTTGAAATTGGCAAAGTCCCCGGCCAAGGCCCGCTGGCCCTCTGCTTGCTCGCAAACAGCCATCTCCCAACTCTTTGAACCTGGAGCCCAGGGCCCAGGCAGAAGGCCCTGCGTGTAACTGGGGTCAGTTGTGGGTACCGGGCCAGGCACTTCATCTCTCTGGCTCATGGATGGTTTCCCTGGCTGTAAAATGGGGAGAAACATCCTTGCCCAGCATACCTCCTAGGGCCAGTGGGTGGCTCCAGCAATGTCACATTGCAAATAATGCATCAAGTAAGGGGACTATGGGAATGTGAATTTTAAAAACCATATATTCCCTTATTGGGACTTTGCTAGTGTGAGCTAATATCAACCCTTATAATTCATACACATTTATAAGATTTAATTTTTCCTCTTGCTACTCATGCCATGCTTTGTCTAATGGGGAGGCAGCCCATGTATAAATAGAGATGCAGTAATGGAGAAAGCTGACAAGACTGGGAGATGGGGTGGTATAGAGGAAATCCAGGAAGGCTTCATGGCAGAGGTGACATTTGAGTTAAATCTTGAAGAAAATTAAATGTTTGAGGGGCTTCTGTGGATGGGAGGTGAGACTCAGTCTTTGGGGCTCTGCAGGGCAGAACTGGAGAGACAGAGGAACAGATTCTATCTCAATAGGAGGGAGATCTCTCTGTCGGTAGAGCTGATAGCATCAGGAGGTGGTGATTTGCCTGTCACTGGAGGCGTGCAAGCAGAAACACAAGATGTTCGCAGAGAAATTTCAACCCAGGCCAAAAGACTGTTATGATCCCTGAGAGTCTAGGACCATGATTCTAAGATGCAAGAGACAAGTTCCACCCTGGGCTAGCCGGTGAAACAAGCCAAACCCACATAAAACAAGACAAGTACGCTCCAGGCCAACTGCTTTGGGCCAGCCGAGCAGTGGGAACCACAGGCTCAGAGACGGCAGGGGGGAGACGCTGAGCCCAGTCTTGGTGGAAGGGTAGGACTTGGAGAGAGGAAAGGGCATTCCTGGCAGCAGGAACAGCTCAGGCCAAGGAGGGGAGGTGGGAAGCAGGATGACCCTTTGCATGAGGGGCAGGAGAGGAGACGGCCGCCTTTTCAAAGGACTTTGATCACCACCGGTCTTATTCTGTTTCACGTCTCCTGCACTCAAAGAGGGGCCCGGCGGGGATCCTTTACGCCCACTAAGCCTTCTCCTTTCCTCAGTGCAAAACGGGGATCAAAACCTTTGGCTCCGCGGGCCGTCATGGTTCAGGCATGGAGTTTGGCAGACACTGCTGGGCTCTGAATCATGGAGGTGGAGAGTGGGGAGAAGAGAGAGCTGGGGAGAGGATGGGTAGGCCCTGGGCAGAGTGAATGCAGAGGAGCTGCCCGATCCCGGTTCGGACCTGGCCCGTGTGCTGGGGGGAGAACAGAACCCCAGGAGAGGAACTGGGGGTTCAGCCAGACCAGCTTGAGGTGGGGAGACCTGTAAGCAGGTTGGGGATGGAAGAGGTCAGACCAGACCTCCAGGCTACCGTCTTGCCTCCCCTCCACCTAATTCGTTCATCCTTTATTGAGCACCTACTGTCTACCTGGCCCCAGGCCATGTACTGTGAAGTAGAAACAAAGTGTCAGTCATTAATTAATTTATTTTGGAGCAATTACCGAGCACAGGCCCAGAGCAGGTCTCTGGAACTCTTTGACAACTCCGCGGCAACCTGGCAAGGCAGAAGTTATTAGCCCCACATTGCAACAAAGGAAACTGAAGTTCAGAGAGGTTAAGTGACTTGCCGGAGGTCACACAGATGGTAAGAAGTTGGCACTGCCGGGATTAGAAAACAGATGGGTCTGTCCGGAGCCCTTTGCTCCCTCCACCCACCTCATTGTTCTTGCAGCACCCCACCACCCACTCTGGAGCCAGAGAGCGGAGGGGAGAGGAGAGAGGAGGGGGAGGGGAAGGGAGGGGAGGAGGGAGAGAGGCTGAGGCAGAGAAAGGCCTGGAGCTACGACAGGGAAAGGCACACGCGAGACAGTGCTCAGAGCTGGAAGCCCGAGCCAGAGAAGGCATCAAAGGACCATGTGTGCACTTGGCAGTCGATGACAGGGCCCGAGCGCCCATGCCCAGCAGGCCCAGCCTCCTGGGCCACCACTCTGAGCCCCTCGAGGCTCTGAGCAGATTACTTAGACACTCCAGGCCTGGATTGCGGTGCTTGGGGTGGGTCGTGGGGGAGTGTGCGGGGGGCGGCTCAGGCCCGGGGTGGAGGGGCAGGCAGCGCCGGAGCTTTGGCACAGGGGGACCATGACAGCTTGGCATCCTCCACCCTGCTGGGCCGTGGCTGAGGCTGCCCGGGCCCTGGGGCCAGCAGGCCCAGCTGTGCAGCCTGGCCACAGAGGCCAGATGTCTGCTGGGCACCTGGGGAGCTGCCCGACACGCTCCCCCAACCCGGGCCGTTCAGCCCTGTTCAGCTGGGCGGTGCTGGGGCTCAGGCTGGGGCACCGGCAAGGCGGCTTGTCAAGGGGCCATTCAGTGGTGGTGGAGTCAGGGCCTGGTCTGCACCAGGATTGTCTGTTGCCATGACTACACACAGGCTGGGTCTGGGGCCCGGCCTCCCAGTGTTCCCCTGTGAGAGCTTCATGGGTCCATGGGGACTGAACTCGTGATCTGGGCTGGGCAGACGGCCCCTTTGGCCCAGCCAGTGAATTAGCTTTTCCTTAGGAAACTATTCACTTTGCTCATTCATGGTGTCCCCCTCTGGGCCCCGGCGCCTCCTTAGACAGCTCTGTGTCAGACAGCCAGAGCCCCACCCAAGCTCTGCTGCCCAGCAGCTGAGGACGCTGACCTCACGCTTTCCTATCAGTGTGAGAATGGCTGGGCCTTGGCTGGCAGCAGCGCGTTTCCTTACCGCTTGCTGTCACAGCCCAGGCCTGCTCTCCCACGACGCTGAACCCTGCCCACACCGCTCAGGGCTGGAGGGACGTGGCTGCCCAGCCAAAGGTGCTCAGACCCAGTCCCCGGCCAGGCCCTCCCCAGGTAACACAGCGCGAGCCATTATGCTCAGAGGAGTGGCCTGGCTTTGAATCCAGGCTCCATCTATTTGCAGCTGTGTGACCCCCAGCCCCTGTCTTAATGTCTCTGAGCCTGAATTCACATCTGTTAAACTGAAGTTAATAATCCCTGCCCTTCCACCCTCACTGGGCCATTTTGAGGAGCAGGAAAGAGAAAATGCTTTGGAAACATAATGTGCTTGGGCAACACTGGTTACTTTGTAGACACAGTATTATTGCCATCATCCCTATCTTTTATCATTAGCATGCTTTTATTCATTCTGGTTCATGGGGGACTCTGCCTCCTTCCTTCCAGGGGTCCCGGGAGCTGTTCCTGGTGCAGTTCCTGGAGGCGTCTTCTTCCCAGGTAATGTACATGAAATTTGCACGTGCCCAGGTAAGACAGATGATGATTAAATTTGCAAGAGACACACATTTGGACACTGCAGAAGGAAAAAATATTGGTACACCAGCCGCAGAGGACTCATCAGTCACTCCTGTATTAAAAAGCAGTTTACATGATGCTGTTCTACAACTACTGAGCATAACTTTTCTAAAAGAGGAAACTCAGTGCTTGCAATCTGTAGGAAAGTGGCCGCCTCACCAATCCTCTGCTGTTTACAGTCTTCGAACCATTAACCCCACTCTTGGAAATCCATTCAAAGGAAATCATTGACAAGAAGAGGAAAAAAAAAAGCCATCTGCCCCAAGTTTCATAGGAATGTTACTAGCAAAAATGCAAAACAAGAAACCCGCTTGACAGGAGGGTGTGATTAAGTAAACTAAGGTTATGCAACTACTAAAAAGTATGAATATGCTCTCTGACGGTCAAGTGATTTTCAAGTAAAAACAATATAAAAGCAAGAACTAGGTGCGGATGAAAATGAGCCCCGCCTCAAGACAAAAAAAAAAAAAAAAAAAAGGACAGAATGTTAGCTCATTGGCATGGCAGGGGGGTGGGGTGGTAGTGGGGAGGCAATCTCTTCCTTTAATTTTGAAAAATAGCATGATGTTTTAACATAGATTGAAAAATCACAAGTAATATTTTCAATACTTAAAAAGTGTTTAAGGGACTTCCCTGGTGGTCCAGTGGTTAAGAAACCATGCTTTCACTACAGGGGGCATGGGTTCTAGGTCCAGGGGACTGAGACCCCTCACACCACACAGTATGGCCAAAAAAAAAAACAAAGAATAAAAGGGTTTGAGCATTCAGAATTGATGTGGAAGTGAGAGAAGCCACCAGCACGTTCCCAGGCACACACAGAGGCAGGAGACTTTTGCCAGACGAGACAGATGAGGAGACAGAGGCTCACAGAGCCCAAGGCTTGCCCAAGACCATGTGGCTGGGCAGTGATGGATTTGACCGTGGGTCAGAGGATGGCTTCTTGACAGGGACCCTGATGGTTTTCCCTCTCTCCCCCTCTATCTGTCAACACAGGGGCTGGTCTCGGAGGCCTGGGAGGAGGAGGTGAGTTCAAACACCCAACTTGGCTCCTCGCTAATGGGGTCTGAGTCTAATCCACACACATCCTTAGACCTCAGACCTCAGAAAACCCAGGCATTAAGAAGTCCCTCATTTCCCAGACTGAGCGTCTAGTGGGGAGGGGCTTTTCTAAAACCTAGATCCCATGGGCCCCCTAAGCCCTTGCCCCCAGCCTCTTTTCCCTGGGGGCCCCCGCCTTCTTTCATATTTCTTTTGATCCATGCAAATCCAGCTGAGTGGGAACCATCACCCCCTTCAGAGGCCTGATAAACAGTGCAAGAGAGGGAAATCCCAGGTCAGGACGGGAGCTGGGGCCCCCACCCAGGCATCTGGGCGCTGGGCTCCCAGCAGCTCCTTGTATGCAAGGGAGGACCATTGCTGACCCCACAGTGCCCTGTGGGGATTGTGGTGAGACAGGTGGGCTGGGACTCCCCATTAACGACCATCTCTTCCCTTCGTAGCACTGGGCCCTGCAGGCAAACCAGCCAAGCCAGGTAAGCCCTGCAGCCTCTGAGCACTGAGCCAGGGCCAGGGGCAGGGGAGGGAAGGGGCCACAGAGCCGTGAACCGGGTCTGCGGATGGGAGGAGGGAGTGAGGTGGTGGATGGACCCTCCCCTCTAGTCAACGCCTCCCAGGACCAGGCTAAGACTGAGCTCCAGGGCTTCCAGGGTCAGGAGGCTAGAGGCACCTTACAGTCCTCCCTGAAGATGGGGTGTCCGGCACCAACTCTGCCCAGGCCTCTGTACCCACCAAGAGTCCCCTCTGCACCAGATCCCAGAAAACAGCCTGTTGCTGAGGTCAAAGGAATTGATGTTCCAGGGGCCACCAAGCCTGTCATGTCACTCTGGGCTCAGACATAGATAATTGGACCCTGGCCTCTGCCTGAATGATCCCTGACTCCCAAATGAAGCCCTCTCTTACTCCAGGCCAAGATCTCGGCTATCCTTGACTCTGATGACCCATTCTGAGCCCTTATCCTGACCCCAGATCAAAGCCCTGCACCTAAACCTAGGCTGTACCCTGACCCTAACCCCAGATGAGCTTCCTTCCCAGGCCCCTTTCAACTGTGCTTCGACCATAGAGTTTTCCAGTAAGATGTGGTTGGCTCTGTCTTGGCCCACAGGGCTCCAATCTACTGCTAGGTCCACTAAGCTCCAGAGAATACACCCCCCAGGCAAGAGGGAGGGCGGGTTCCTCTGGGAAGTCCTGGTGGATAAGGATCAGGTGGAGGAAGGGGTGTCTCCCTGTGGATTTATGATCTGATCCATATGAGATGTAGCCTCCCCCCCCACAACCCGCCCCCCACCGCTCTGTGTCTCCCTGGCTTTGAAGCCCGAGACTCCAGGACAGTTTGCTTGTCCAACAGCTCTTACGAAATCCACCCCCCCAACAATGTTAGATGATTCAAGTGCAAATGAATCTATGAGACCCAGATTCCCCTTCCCTGCAAGCCCATCTGGGTTGTGAAACTCTAGGGCTGGGGCCAGGCAAGAAAGAGAGACACAGGAGGGCAGGAGGCCTGGGCAAGGGGTTTACTGGGGTCTGTAGGAGTCTGCAGGGCTGGGAGCCCTTTGGGGTTCATTGCTCATCCCACCAGAACCTGTTTCCTATCTTCTCAGAGGAGTGAGTGATCTTAAAAGGGTCTTTGATGGTGGAGAGAGAACAGAGGAAAGGCTAGATAAGCAAGGGTGTGGAATTAGGATCGCACTTATCTGGGAAGACCCAGATTGAGGCAGTCGTGACTGCGGAGCTAGAGGAGGGGCTGGTTGATCCCATTGGCAGCTGGGGACACACGGTAGGTTGTGATGAAACACCAGAGAGAAGGCTGAGAAAACCGCACACAGTTGCAGTTGGTAAAGTGAAGCTTTGAGTAATGAAAGGTTTAGCTTGACTTCCAAAAGGACTTCCAGCCTGGGGTAAAGATGTAGACCGAGAGGAAAGTCAGGACCTCGGCTGATGAAATGGGACTGGACTCCATGACCTCCCAGAGCTTATCTTTCAGCCTGAGGACTCTGGGCTCCAAAGGCCTGGACAGGGCCACAGTGCCCCCCACACAGGGCAGCTCCCCACATCCGGGCATGCCCAGGCAAGTGTCATGCCTGGGAACAACTAATCCCTTGGCGAGTAGAGGGTGGGTGGCCTGGCAGCTGCTCCTCATGGGCCTCGGTGGGCTGGCCCCTCCTGGGCTCTCAGTGGGGGACCAGGCAGCTGGAAGCCAGCACCACCCACACCCTCAGCACCAGCTGAAGGCCAGTCACCCACCCGAGAGCCCAGGAAGGAGCGGGGGGGACATCCAGCGGTCACCCCAACAGGCTGCAGACCCGACATGCTCTCTGCTCACGGGCCCTGTGGTCCCAGGAAGGTTGGAGACACGCGGGCCCTTTTGTATCTGGGGAAACTGAGCCTTGGAAAAGGGAAGTGACTTGCTATTTCATGCAAGGAGTAGCATGGGGCAGCAAGATTTAAATCCAGAGCTCAGTGACTCTAAATAGAGATGGCTGGATAAGCCAGGCCTCTCGGGGCTCCCAACCTTGGGCATTCTCACCCCTCTCTCCTCCTCACCCCCTCTCCTGCTTTCCAGGGGCTGGACTCCTGGGGGCATTTGGGCCAGAGGAGTCCATGGGAAGAAGGGCAGCAGGGTGGGACGCTGCTCAGGCTGCAGGGCGACCCTGGGGGGGGAGCACGGGAAGAGGGCAGATGGCTGCAGATGGCCCCCTGCCCCCACCCCACCCACCCGGCCTCTTCTCGCTTCCTGTCCGGTCCCCATCCTCTCCTCCCGGCCCCTCTGCGGTCGGGAAAGGCCAGAGGGTGTCTGCTGCCCTGCTGGACCTCAGGAAACAGGCCAGGCTGGAGAGAAACACCCCCGACAGAGCTGGGGCGAGGCAGGGCCGGCAGCGCTGGGAAGTGAACCCAGGCACACCCCGGGCCCGGCCAGACCACACCACACCTGCCCGGAAGGGAGACGGGCTGGAGGCAGAGGCCCATCTCACAGAGGGCCTGGCTGGCTTTCAGACGGGCCAGCTCACATAAGTAGGAAGCGAGGCCAGGGGACCACACCCAAAGAAAGGCAGGTGGGCTCTCCGGGGCTCAGCTGTCCTGCTTGTTTGGGGTCAGTCCCTAGAGAGGCTGCCTCTGAGCTTGGGACCCTGGTGGCCAGGACGGGCGCTTGTGGGAGAGATTCTCACATAATTGGAAACAAAGCCGGCACGGTTGTGAACTCCAACCTGATTGCCCATCGGTCCTGGCCAAAGCCATGGAATGTCTCCTGGAGGGAGAAAAGCAGAGATCGAGCCCAGATGTGGGAAGGAGAGAGCCAGAGGGACCCATTTGGCTTTTTATAAACATTTTAGCATCTGTCTGCAGGCAAGGAGGCTCCCAGACTGCAGGGCAGGCTAGATGGATGACAAAAAAGGGCTCCAGATACAAAGGAGAGGGCGTGGGCTGAGCCAGGGGACTCCTGCAAGGAAGCCAAAGCAAGGCCTGGGGTGGGGCTAACGTGGGAGCAGGGCAGGGCCTGGCCTGGCCTTGCTGGCAAATTCTGCTCAGCTCCAGCCCTGAGAGAAAGCCCTCCTGGGTCCCTCGTTAGCTGGTGGGACTTCCAAGGAAACTGAGGTTCTGGTTGGGAAGTTGGGATCAACACAGTGACATCCACATGACACAAAGCAGTTGGTTATTAAACAGTGGTGACTATCTTACCAGGATTGGCCGCCAAGTACCGAAAACTTGAGTCCAGCTTAGAGACCTGAGTGGCCACACACAGATCCCAGCATTGCTGGGTTCCACGAGACCCAGGATGGGAACATCCTGGGCCCAGGAACGATGACCCACACCAGCCTCCCCTCACCTGGCTCTGTCTTCTTCTCCCTACAGGTGTCGGAGGGCTCGCCGGCGCTGGCCTTGGTGCAGGTTAGTGTCAACATCCAGGCAAGATGCCCCTCTGGGGGCCAGAGCCAAGGGTACAAGGTTCAGACCAGGCCTTTCCTGGGCACTGGTGTAGGGGGTCATGCTAAGACAACCTGCCCGGGGCCCAGGGAGTGACAGCTGGGTCTTGGCACTATTATAATATAGTGATGAGGTGACGCTAGTGGTAAAGAACCCGCCTGCCAATGCAGGAGACATAATGAGAGGCAGGTTCGATTCCTGGGTCGGGAAGATTCCCCTGGAGAAGGGCATGGCAACCCACTCCAGGATTCTTGCCTGGAGAACCCCGTGGACAGAAGAGCTACAGCGGGCTACAGTCCATGGGTCCCAAAGAGTCGGACACGACTGCAGCAATTTAGCAGGCAGCAGGCAAAAAGAGCTAGAAGGAAGCAGCCCCAGGAGCCCAAAGGAGTCACCCGACCCAGCGGGGCTTCAGGAAGGCTTCCTGGAGGAGGGAGGTATGGAAGTCTGACCCCAAAAGATCTCTGTAGCTTGTCAGGCTGAGAGGAGCAGCCTGGGCCTTACTGCATCTCTGACATTGAACCCGGTCCTGGGAGCAGCAGTCATGCCTTTGCACGGAGCAGGAGAGCCTCAGGTGTACCTCCTGGACTGGGCGGGCCGGGGCTGGGCTGGGGGCAGGACATCACCCATCCTCCTCTCTGCAGGGCTTGGGGCTTTTCCCGCAGGTGCCTTCCCAGGGGCACTGGTGCCCGGTGGCCCGGCTGGCGCTGCTGCCGCCTATAAAGCTGCTGCCAAGGCCGGTGAGTATTACCCTTTAGAATGTGCCATAAGCCCTCTGGCCTTCGTGGGCTCTCCACCTTGCAAAGAACCTTTCCTGGGTTGGGGGGCAGGTGAATGGGATCCTCAGCTCCAGTCTACTGGGGGTGATGGGAGGCAACCAGCTACGTCCGAGTCTCAAAGCGAGGCAGAGGCAGGCCAGACCTCAGTCCAGGGTCCTCCTGCCTTTCGCGGTTCCTGGTGTGACCCCCCCTCCACTTCCGCAGGTGCTGCTGGTCTCGGCGGGGTCGGCGGCATCGGTGGTGTCGGCGGCTTAGGAGTGTCTACAGGTATGGAGGCGAGACCTGGGTGGCCCGGGGGGAAGTCGTGGGAGCAGGGGAGCCCCGTCTGATGTGGCCCCTTCCCCTCCAGGTGCGGTGGTGCCTCCGCTCGGAGCCGGAGTCGGGGCTGGAGCGAAGCCTGGGAAAGTGCCAGGTCAGTGTGGACGGAGTCCCTGCGGCTGGAGGGCAGAGGTCAGGGAGGGGCAAGAGCCCCCAAGGCGCCCCCGGGGCAGGAAGGGCAGGGCCTGGCTGCAGCGGGGCAGGCATCAAGGGGCAGAGACAGGCCCAGAGCAGGATGCCAGGTCCCAAACAGGGGCGAGGGACTCCAGCCGTCCTTCCAGGCCCTTCCTCCAGGACCTTGGAGCAGACCTGAGAGACAGGCTCTGTGGCAGGCATTCGGGTGACCGATGGGGACACTGAGGCGCAAAGCAGGGAGTCAGCATCAGGGCCCGCCCGGTCCTGGCAGGGCTGGGGTGAAGCCCCATCCGGTGCCCATCCCTCCGCACCGAGCCCTCAAGGAAGTGACTTCAGGTTCAACCAAAGGCGGCCTGAGTCCACACAGCAGGGAGGGAACATCTGGAAGCTGTTAGCCCCGAGGTGGGCTGGGCCGGCCGTGTAAACAGGCTCCAGGAGACGGGACAAATCCACGCACAGAGGGATTTGCAGATGACTTCCGGAACTCGTATGGGGGGGCCTGCAGCCACCACACACATGTCCCCGGCTCTTCCCAGGGGCGGGGGGTGAACCTGGGGGGCTAGCTCGGGAGCCCTGGGACTGCCACAGAGGGAAGGGCCAGGAGAGACTCCTGGAGGCAAGGCTGCTGCTCACGCGTTTGGAGGCCAGGCTGCTGCTCACGTGTTTTTTTCGGCCATAGGTGTGGGGCTCCCAGGTGCATACCCGGGCGGAGTGCTCCCAGGCGCAGGTGAGGGCAAAGGGGAAAAGGGGGACCCTAGAGCTAGGAGAGCAGCCCCTGGCAGCCTCCCGGGGGGCCCCCCAGCTCCCCCAAACTGTGGCCACTGGAGTCCTGACGGGCACTGTCTCCCTAAGCATCAAAGCTCAGGCCACAGACCTAAGATAGCTCTGGTTGTCTTTCCCCTACGAAGATCAGCAAGCTCCCCACAGTCCCCCCCAGAACCCCAAGCTGAGGCCCAGACCCAGACCATCGTCACAGCCTGCGGTGGGTCTTCGGGGACAAACCAAGTCCCCAGGGTGGCCAGCTGTTTCCCAAACGCCATGAGTCACCAGGGGGGCCCGCCCAGCACATCGCCCTGCAGGAGACCCTCAGAGTTGCCCTCTCAACCTCCTTTCCCCGCCAGGGCCTGGCCACCCCACCCAACATGTGACCTCCTGAATTCCCCCAAAACCCCAGGCTCGGGCTGGCTCGGAGGGATTAACTGGCAGAGGGTCCCCCCACCCACACCCCCCCAGCCCCTCCCTGCCCTGTGGCCCAGCCCCCTGGGGGTTGGGGGGAGAAAGGGGAGGTGGCAGCACTGAACGCTGGAGGCCTCCCGGCCAGAGCAGACGACAGCTCTGTGTTTGGTTGTGAATCGCATCCGGCGAGAGCCCCCCGCCGAGGGCACAGTCCTCCCCGACCTACAGGCCTGTCTTCTCTGATGAGGCTGGGCAGGGCGACGGGAAATTAACTCAGGTTTCAGAGACAGGACGACAGAAGCGCGGGGCTAGGAAATAGGATTAAAACTTCTGACCTGGGGGCAGATGGGGCAGAGAAGTGACCACCAGAGGGCCCCCCTAAACCCCATGAGCCACGCCAGCAGCTGACATCGAAGAAGGAGGCCAGCTGTGTCCCTGAGGGTGGGTGCGGTGCCAGGCTGGCCCTTCCAGGTTGGACCTTCCTGCCCTCACTGCCAGCCCCCTCTTTGCCCTCTCAGGAGCTCGGTTCCCGGGCATAGGGGTCCTCCCCGGGGTTCCCACTGGAGCAGGAGTCAAGCCCAAGGCTCCAGGTATGTGGGAGTGTCGGATCACCCTCAGTCCCCTCTGTCCTGGGTTGAGGGGGGTGGGGAACCTGGGCTCAGCTGGCCCAGATGGGCAGTGAGAAATGCCCAATGTGTTTGTGATGAGCTGGGAGGTCTGGGCAGAACTGGCCACGGCTTGGGCCAACACGCCCTTCACTGGTGCTGGGGTGCCCTGGGTCCGCGGTGGCCAAGCCACAGTGATGGTTCCTTGTCATTGCAGCTGGGGGCGGAGCTTTTGCTGGAATCCCAGGTAAGGCAAGGCTGGGTCCCTCCACGCCAGGGAGGGTGAACAGGCCCATGGGGTGTCCAGCCAGGCAGGGACTCCTGCCCTGGGAGGAGCTGAGCACTCCCATTGCAACAGGCCTTGGACTGGCTTTGGCACAAAGTGGCGTCCGTCACAGGCCTGCTTCTCCTGCCCCAACCCCCTGTTTGGCAGCCCAGAGGAGCCCAAAAAACTAGAACCTGCTAGAACTAGAGCTAGAGCCTTCACGCTGCAACTAAAAAGCCCCCAAATGGCGAGAGGGCTGCGGTCTCCGAGTGTAGCCCGAGCCCCAGCAAAGGGAGCATCCTGCAGCTTCCTGGAGGAAGCAGCCCATCGCTGGGGATTGTTCAGCTGACCGATGACATAAGGAGGCAGGAAGGCCCTCTAGGCAGGATGCTTTCCGGATTCTGATGCCATGGGAGCTCATTCTAGTCTGAGCAGAAAGTGGAAGGGGAGGCTGGAGGCTTCACAGGGGGCTGCTGGCCCACGTGGCTGGGGCCTGATTGTTTTGCTCTCCTTGTTCCCATAGGAGTTGGACCCTTCGGAGGGCAGCAGCCTGGAGTCCCGCTGGGATACCCCATCAAGGCACCCAAGCTGCCAGGTAAGGCAGGCGGAGGATTCGAGAGACACCACTCACACTGGGCCTCCCTGCTGGGAGGTCAGCTTGAGAGGGGACTTGTTTGCCCACCTGTATCTTGGAGTGGCTGGAGAGGGTAGTCAGGAAACGGGTAATTTTGCCCACTTCTGGTCACCGGCAAAAGAAAGCCGGGAGGAACTTCCCTGGTGATCCAGTGGCTGAGACTCCACACTCCCAAACCAGGGTTCGAGCCCTGGCCAGGGAATTAGAGCCTGAACGCTGCAACTAAAAATCCCCCATGCCTCAACTGAGATGCTGCACAGCCAAATAAATAAAGAAATATTTTTTAAAAAAGAAAGAGGGGAGAGACCAACATCTTGCAGGTCCTGGCCTCCCATACACACACACGCACCCATGTGCACACACATACACACACAGAGAGACCCGTAGCCCCAGTGGGAAACCATGTGTGTTGATGGTAAGAAACACCATTCACTGGAAAGAAACGTCTGATGTCAACCCACCAGAGCTGTCAAGTTCACACGATGAGAAGCTATTTCCTGATGGGGAAGTGAGTAAGGAAGACCCTCAGACTTGGGGGCCATGGCAGGTAGAAGAATGGCCATCCCTTTGTGCCCTGGAGCGGGGCATCCTCTCCCCTGCCTCCTCCAAGGCCTTGGCTCTCCTGAGAGCCTCTGGAAGAAGCTCAGGACCTTGATGGACGGAAGGAGGCCTCAGGCCTCAGTACCTGTGGGGACTAGGTCTGTCTGCCCAGGTAGTGGGGGCCCAGTGAGGCGTGGGGCTGCCCTGGGGCAGCCACTGAACCCACGCTCCATCTCCTCAGGTGGCTATGGACTGCCCTACAGCACTGGGAAACTGCCCTATGGTAAGGCCCTCTTAGACTGGCGGGCTTCTGGCTCCTTCCAGCCACAGGGTTCTGGCAGGGCAGCTATGGCCCCAGTCCAGGGCTAGAACACCAACTGGGGGGTAGGGTGGGTGTGGAGTCTCAGAATGGGAGTCCCCTAAGGAGGGGGACATGGAACTGGGACTCAAGACAGCCTGGTTCTCAATCCTGGCCCTCGCACTTATCCCCAGGTCTTGAGAAAACAGGTTTTCTTCTCGGAGCCTCAGTCTTTTCATCTGTAAAATGGGAATAACCATTCCACACATGTTTGCATTTAACTCTGGCTGGGGGTGACAGGTGGAGGCTCTGGGTGGCCTTGTCCTTGAAGGCAGGGGAGGGGCAGCCACCGTGAGATCGCACGGATGCCCACTGAGCCTCTCCTCTCGCAGGCTATGGGCCTGGAGGAGTGGCTGGTGCTGCGGGCAAGGCTGGGTATCCAACGGGGACAGGTAAGGAGAGCCTCACCCCTCCGCCAGCCAAATAACTCAGGCTCCAGAATGCCAGCCAGCCCATCCTATATCCAGACCCTGGTCTGAGTTTAAAGAAGGACCCTGGTGGGGCAAGGCAGGAAGCTGGGGACAGCTCTCCCAGCCTCTGCTTGCTATATGCCCCACATCCACACCCAGATATGAACCAGTTGGTTTTCTTGGGCCTGGAAGAGATGGACTCTGGAGATGCCGGGGCACACTTTCCAGTCTCTCCCCTTCCTCTTCCCCCAGGGGTTGGCACACAGGCTGCAGCAGCAGCGGCTAAAGCAGCAGCGAAGCTTGGTAAGTACCCCTGGAGCCCCTGCCTGCTAGCTGCCAGCCCTCCAGCCTCACCATGCCTATTACCACTGAGAGCCTGCCTCACAGATAACTAACCAAGGTGGCCCCTCCTTGCCACACCCCCATTTATCCAACCGTTTCAACACTACCCGTTCTTCCCTCCCTCCGTCCATTCATTCTTCCTTCCACCTGTGCATCTGCTCCACCCTCCAATTCTCCATCCCTCGGTCCATCCATCCACCCCTCCACCCATCCATTCACCCATCCCTCCCTCCTTCTGTCCCTTCCTCCCCTCTCCATCCATTCATCCACCCCTCCCTCTGCCCATCTATCCTCCCATTCATCTCTCCATCCATCTATCTACCCATCCCTCCATTCATCCATCCCTCCATCCCTCCCTCCTCTGTCCCTCCCTCCCTCCTTTTCAGAAACCAGGGACAGATAAGGGCTCTGCTGAAGAATGTCAGCACTGTCGTGGGACTCAGGAAGAGGGAGACATTGCTTCTACCTGGGGATAATCAGGAAGGGTTCTCAGAGAAAATGATATTTGATTCATAGCCTTAAAATTTAGGTAGAGAATTTGCCAGGTGGTTAAAATAGGAAGGAGTGGGTAGAGCAGAGGTTAGAATGATCATTTTAGGTAGAACATGTATGAGCATTTAAACAGTTTAATAGTTGAGTATCAATTTAATATGTACTATAAAACTTTTAACTAGCTCCTCAAGCCCACGATCCCTTGGCTAGTCGATGTAGCATGGCCTTCTCTCTGCCTATGCATGGGCCGAGTGGGCCCATGGCAACTCCCCAGTTCAGAGTTAGATCATGGGGGTGAAGTCTTCACCTTCAGCCCCAGTCCCAAGGGAGCTCCTTCTTGTAGCCATGATGGGATGGAAGAATCCTGCCCACTAGCCTAAGGGGGTGAGGATGTGGAGGGAAGTACTGAGTTGGAGGCCTGCCCCACAGAGGTCCTCCCTCCAGGCCCTCAAGGCTGGAGGGGATGGCTGGAATGTGGGAGCAAGAGAGAGGGACAGCGAGGGGCTGCGAGAGCCAGGCGGCCCGGCGCTTGGATTACAAACTTGGCCGCGTGTTCGGAACACAGAGAGAGGAAGTCTTGAACATTCTTTCAGGGGCCCCTCTGGCCTGGGGAGCGGCCGCTTGTGGTTTCTCAGTATGTGGCAGTGATTAGAATGGGATTTGTCTGAAAACATACGAGTCCCTTAATGAGAGTGTTGAAATGGACACTTTAGGGGTGAGTCAAGGAACAGTGGGGTGGGGGCCTCTTCCTAAGCAGGCCCGGCCGGAGATGCCTGGGCCTCATTCCCAGAGGAGATTGCAGCAGTGAAAACACCAGCATCCAAGCGGCCTTCCTGCCTGGCTCCAGGAGGGGCCCCTGGAAGCCACATCCTCACTGTCCCCACTCCAAACAGGTGCTGCAGGAGCCGGAGTTCTCCCTGGTGTTGGTGTTGGTGGTGCTGGCATTCCTGGTGTGCCTGGCGCAATTCCTGGCATCGGAGGCATTGCAGGTAAGGTCCATCCCAGCAGGTGGGGGGGGGGGGGAGGGTGTCCTTGAGAAGGTCACAGGAAAAGGGCCTCACCTTCTGCGGCTTTCTCTCCAGGGGTCGGGGCTCCAGATGCTGCTGCTGCCGCCGCCGCTGCTAAGGCAGCCAAATTCGGTGAGTGTCCCCGAAATGGGCAGTGCCAGGACTCCAGCCAGCCCCAGCCTCAGCATGCAGCTTGGAAGGCTCCAGGCCTATAAGGCTGGATGGTCTGTTCCCCGCCAATCCCCCCAAGCATCATGATCATGCCTCCTTGCCTCTGTCTGGCAGGCTGTGTCCACTGCTCTCCACTGATTGGCCCAGCGGTGTGGGCCTCCCACTTTACCCCCTGGGCCACTCACAGCTGCTGTGCCAACTGCCTGGGCCCAGTGGAGCATTCTGACTCTGCTTTAGACATAGAGCGTGCTCCTTCCAGCCACAGATCCAAACCCCTAGAGCTCTGTCGGGGTTCCCTCAGTTCCCTCCCCTTCTCTCAGGAGACGTGGATCCATGCAGAGGCAATGCCCCCCCAGCTAGCATCCTGCACACAGGATCCGCGGCTCCCGAAGCTCCCCAGAGTCATGCCCCCAAAGGCCCCCCTGAGGTTCCCATAGGGTCCAGGCCAGAACAGCAATCCTTTCATCCACAGGTGCTGCTGGAGGCCTTGGCCCAGGAGTAATCGGTGTCCCAGGAGTTGGAGTACCTGGTGTTGGAGTCCCTGGTGTTGGGGTTCCAGGTGTTGGGGTCCCTGGTGTTGGGGTTCCAGGTGTGGTTCCAGGTGTTGGAGTCCCAGGTGTTGGAGTCCCTGGTGTTGGAGTCCCCGGTGTCGGAGTTCCAGGTATTGGGTGCTCAGGCATCATAAGTGGACCAGCTGAGCTTGGCAATGTGTGCGCATGTGTGTTTGTGTGTGCAAGAGAGAGATGTTAGAAATTATTGCCAAGACTTTCTGATTCTCCTTAACACATCACCCTTCTATCCTCTTCTCTCCATACCCTTGGTCATCTTCTCTTTCTTGGGCTATAATTAACTACTGCCAGCCTCTTATCTTCTTCAATTTACCTTCTGGTTGTCAATATGCTCCTGGGGGCAGGAACCATGTCTTTTTCATCTCTGTGTTCCCAGACCTTCACAGAATATGTGTTCAGTAAATGGTGGATAGATGGCTGGGTAGGTAGATGAATGGATGGATGTCTAGAGAGATGGATGGATGGATTGATGGATGAATGGATGGGCAGATGGGCAGCTGGGGACGTAGGTGAACAGCCAGGTGGATGAGTAGGCAAGTTGATGGATGAGAGAGTGGGTGATGGGTGGATTAGTGGACAGATACAAAGATGGGCGGTTACATGGATGGATAAATAAGATGGGTAAAATGGTGGATGGCAAGATAAATGGGTAGATGAAAAGAGAGATGGATAGGCAGATGGGGACAAAGTAAGTGGTTAGAATGATGGATGGATGGATAAGCACATGTGTGGATGAGCAGATGAATGGGTGGGTAGAAGGCAAATACAAAATGGATAGTTGGTTAGACATTTAGATGAAAGGACAGATAGGCAGGCGGGTGGATAAATGGATGGATAAATGCATGTGTGGGTGGCTGGAGAGATGAATGGTTGGGTAGATTGAGATCAAAGATAGACAAATGGACAGACATTTGGGAAGGTCAGCGGATGGATGAATGGGTGGCTGGGTAGACAGATGGACAGATGGGTAAGTGGAGATATGAGTGGGTGAATGGATGGACAACCCTGTGTTGGCTCAATAGATAGAAAGAAGACGGACTGAAAGACAGAGGGATATATATATACACATCCTGAGAGTCCACTCCATCCTCCCCTGAGCGTTTGTGTTTCTCTTGGTCTCTCCAGGGGCTGTGTCACCAGCCGCAGCTGCTAAAGCAGCGGCCAAAGCAGCCAAATTCGGTGAGTGCTGAGCGGATAGCTCCGCCCCGCCCCATTCTGGCCTTTATTAGGACTCCAGGACCCTCATCTTCTACTCCCCATTGTACAGCCCAGAGAAGGAGAGTGATTTGCCCAGGGCCACACAGCAAGTCACTGGCAGAGCTGGGACTTGGACCTGTTGGGCCCCAGGACGATGTGTCCCCCAGGTGTCTCCCACCGTGAGGCCAAGGGACTCAGTAATAATAGAGTCCCAGTATGTCACTCCCAGTGGAGACAGTGTCCCTGACCTCCCTGCCCTGGCCAGGACCCTCTCAGAGGACAGCCCAGCCTGGCAGAGGATAAGACGGTGCGCAGTCTGCCCATCACCAACAAAGAGCCCCTTCCCCAACTGCTCAGAGAAGAGAGGGGCTGGGCACACACTAGGGGTGTCAGTAGGGAGGAAGCTGGTGGGGCTCAGGCATCTCATGGTTTCCTGCCCTTCAGGGACCAGACCTGGGGAGAGGCTTGCATCCTTTTCCCCATCCAGCATCCCCCAGAGCCCACCCCAGCCTCTCCCACTAGATCCTTTACCCCTTGATTCTCTTCCCTCTGCAGGGGCCAGAGGCGGAGTGGGAGTTGGAGGCATTCCCACATTCGGGGCTGGCCCTGGGGGCTTTCCTGGCTACGGAGACGCAGGTATTCCGGGAGCTGGCCTTTCCCGTGAGCCTTAGCTCCATGAAGGCGGGTGGTGGGGGGTGGGGGGACACAGGGAAAAGTTTGGAGGCTCATCTTCTGTGGGTCATGGGAGGCTGGGGAGGGTAGACTGAGCTCTGGGAACTCAGGGAGGACCTGGGGGAGAGCGCAGGACGGGCCTCCCGTGCCCTTGGGGCAGGTGCACTGTTAGCACAGCCCAGCTGAGATCCAGAAAGGTTTCTGAATCTCTTTCTTTCTCGATTCCTCGTAGCAGCAGCTCAGGCAGCTGCAGCCGCCAAGGCAGCCAAGATCGGTAAGTGCCCCAGCCCCGCGTCCCCTACCCCCTCCTCCTCCCCTCCTCCCCCTCCCTCCCAGGGCCAAGCCCTCCCCTCCTCCCCTCCACAGCCAGGCTCTCCTGTCAGGGGCCGAGGCTCAAAAATCAGAGCAACCTCACACTCTTGGCCTCTGGGGCTGCAAAGTCCTGGCGTTAAGGTCAGAAGCCCCTGGCCCCATTTTCCAAAGCCACAGTGAACATTTCTGCCCTTTTCAATTGCCCACTATTGGGGTCATTGTTATCTGGCTCGTTATCCCCCATCCCACAGCAGTGAGTTAAAGATGCCCAGCCGATACCCAGCCATGATGTAACCCCTACCTCCACCCTTGGCTCCCCCAAGAAGGAGGTGCTTCAAGGGCAAAGCTGGATGCTCTTCATCCCTCCAGGTGCTGGGGCAGCAGGAGCCCTGGGAGGGCTGGTGCCAGGTGCCCCCGGAGCAATACCAGGCGTGCCCGGTGTTGGAGGGGTGCCAGGTGAGCTGTGTCCCAGCCCAGACATGGGTTTGGTTTATCTCATGGAAGGGGCCCTGGAGTTGATGTAGATCAAGGGTCCCATTTTACAGATGGCAAGACTGAGCCCAGAGAAAGGGATTTCCCATAGTTTGGAGGGTAGCATCCCCACAGGATTCCAGATTGCTGAGTGAACCCAGAAAGTCCCCTCCCTGCCCTCAGGGATGCTCAGGATGTCAGCCTGGGAGGCAGCAGAACTCTGCTTGGCTGGGGTTTGGGGAGACCTCATTCACCCCCCATCCCACGGGCCCTTTCTGCTTTCTGATCGGGTGGGAGGGCCTGTGTCAGTCTTTGTTTACCCAGCACTCTTTCTCCAAAGGGAGGAAATGAGATTAACTTACAATCCTCTTTGTCGGTTTGTGTTTTCATTTTCCCACCAGAAGATTTCTCTTCTGCATTTCTTCTTCTTTCTGGGTGGAGGCGGGGTGGGGGGGAATTCCCCTTTTGCATTTCTCCCCCCAAGAAATGAGCGGTTTCCTCCAATAGCCACAGAGTCAGAGCTGCTGCTCAGGGAGAGGACATGTCCAAAGCGGCTGGCAGGCCATCACAGTGCGGGCCTGGGAGAGGGGCCAGTTCCCGAGATGCGGACTCTGCGAAGTCTTTCTACCATGGGGGATGGAAGAGAGAGGGGAGGGGTGCTGGGGACCGCTGCCGATCCTTAATCTTCGCTTTCCCAGGGGTCGGGACTCCAGCAGCTGCAGCCGCCAAAGCCGCCGCCAAAGCCGCCCAGTTTGGTAAGAGTTGTTGTTTTGTCCTTCAGTCGTGTCCAGCTCTTTGCGGACCCACGCCTGTGGCCCGCCAGGCTCCTCTGTCATGGGATTTTCCCAGGCAAGAATACTGGAGTGGGTTGCCATTTCCTTCTCCAGGGGACCTTCCCGACTCAGGGATAGAACCCGCATCTCCTGCGTTGGCAGATGGATTCTTTACCACTGAGCCATCTGGGAAGCGCCCTGCCGGTTCTACCTCCAAGCCTGATCCCAGAGCACTGCTCTCTCATATCTCTGCTCTGGAGTCTGACAGCAACCCCACTCCAAGCCGTCACATTCTGGGCCTGGGCCTTCCTCACAGGTCTTGGCCCATCCGAGCACTTTGAGGGATGGGGGTGAAGTTTCTGAGCAGGAAGGCAAAGAGAGAAGAGATGCCGGAGAGCCCTCCAGCACCCACCCTTCCCAAAGCCCTTGCTGCCTTCCGAACTGTTTCTGGAACAAACGCTGGGCTCCTCTGAGCTCCCACCCACCCCGAGCGAGACCAGGTTCTCCATCTCCTGCTTCATCCGAAGGCCACCCTGGCAGCCCCAGGCTCCCACACCTTCCTGAATATAGCACAGCGAAAGAGTTCACTTTAGAGCCCAGCTGCTTGCCAGCCCCGGCACTGGGGCAGGGGCAGGGTTTTTTTTCCTTCCTGCCAGAGAAATTTTAACTTCAGTTCTGTTTAATCGCTGAGTCATGCCTGACTCTTTGTGACCCCATGGACTGTTAGCCCACCAGGCTCCTCTGGCCATGGGATTTCCCAGGCAAGAATACTGGAGTGGATTGCCATTTCCTTCTCCAGGGCATCATCCCGACCCAGGGATCGAACCTACGTCTCCTACCTTGACAAGCAGCTTCTTTACCACTGAGCCACCAGTGATTCCTAAACTCAGACATGGCAACTCGTTTCTGTAAAACTACCGTATGCTGAGGGCTTCCACGGTGGCTCAGATAGTAAAGAATCTCACTGCAGTGTGGGTTTCATCTCTGGATCGGGAATCTCCCTCCTGTTTTCTTGCCTGGGAAATTCCATGGACAGAGAAGTCTGGTGGGCTATACAGTCCATGAGGTCACAAGGAATCAGGCATGACTGAGCTACCAATACTTTCACTTTCACCATATGCTGAGGTAATCCTTACATCAGCCTTATGAGATTGGTTCTGTTGCACCCATTTTGCAGATGTGGAAACTGAGTCTCCAGGAGCTTAAGTAACTTGCCCACACTCACATAGCTAAATGGTGGCCGAGCTGAGCTTTGAAGCCAGGCCTGCCTGTCTTGCCTTTACTTGCCTTTACTACATGTTGTTAGTTGCTACATGAGTCTGCCTGTATCACCCTCAGAGTCTCAAAGGGGTCCCTGGAACTCCAAAAGTTGAGCTCCTGATCTTGCACAGACGTCTTATTAGGGATGAAGAAGCTGAGGCCCATCAAGAGAAAGTAACTTGCCCAAGGTCACACAGCAAGTCTGTGCCCAGCTGGAACAAGGATCCAGGGTTCCTGACCCCCCAGCCAGCTGCTCTTTCCATCAGCTTCTGTCCTCCTCATTCAGGACTCGGTTAAGGATTGGCTCTGCTCTCTTTTGCAGGTTTAGCCCCTGGAGTCGGTGTGGCTCCCGGCGTTGTGGCTCCCGGCGTCGCTCCCGGCGTCGTGGCTCCCGGCATTGGCGTGGCTCCCGGCGTCGTGGCTCCCGGCATCGGCGTGGCTCCCGGCATTGGCGTGGCTCCCGGCATTGGCCTTGGCCCTGGCGGTGTCATAGGTAAGCCGTGTGAATAAGTGGGCCTGAGTGAGGGTCCTCTGAATCCTCCGTGGGTGCCATCCTTAAACCTCATCCTCTCCCCCGCAGGAGCAGGGGCCCCAGCTGCTGCCAAGTCCGCTGCTAAGGCCGCCGCCAAAGCCCAGTTGCGTGAGTGTCCTGCCTGCCTTCTCGGTCTGGTGTGACCCCAGTCTGAGCCAGGTCCCTGGACACGCAACCTCTCAGACCCGCCCTACAGCCTCATGAGGCACCCCCAGGCGGCAGACATGGGCATCAGAAACAGATTTAGCATAAGGGAGACCCGCGTTCGAGTCCTGGGCCCCACACTAGCCGAGTGATCTCTGAGTTTCCTGTCCTCTTGTGTGGGGTTGAGGGCACCCGCCAGGGAGGCTTGTTAGGAGAATCAAATTAAGTTCATCCAAGAGGGAGGGACAGGAGGTGAGGCTGAAAGGGGCAGCGATGTCCGGCGCGTGCGGCCCCGGATGCCGGTCTGGGGAGGGGCTGGACTTGGTGGTCAGTGTGAGTTTTAGGAAAACCTGGCAGTAGCGTAGAGGGCAGATGAAGGGGACAGAGGCCCCGCATGAGACTGGGCCCCTTCTCTTGGGGCCTGACTCAGCTTCCTGGGCAGGACACCCCCAAAAGGGCCTGTCTTCTGCCTGCCGCCATCACCCCACTCCCCCATCTCCCACAGGGGCTGCCGCCGGGCTTCCCGCTGGTGTTCCTGGCCTTGGAGTGGGTGTTGGCGTTCCCGGCCTTGGAGTCGGGGTCGGAGTTCCTGGACTTGGGGCAGCGGCAGGTAAGGGGCCTTCTGGGGGATGAAGAGCAATGCCCCCCGAGCCCCACGGAGGCAGGGCTCTCTCCCCAGCCCGTCCTCCAGGACCCTTGCACCTAGGCGCACGATAAATGCTCTGTTAGGTCCTCCTGAGCATTCTGAGACAACTGGGATAAGAGAAGGGGGGCAGGCCAGCTGAAGGGCTCCAAGCTGAAAAGAAGCCCACTGCCCAAGGACGGAGGCTGGGGGTCCCTGGGGTCTGTGGGAGTGCTTGGGCCCCCCAGCTCCTCTTCAGCAGTGCGCAGGGGCAGGGGGGTCTCTGAGAGCGCTAGTTCTTCATCTCCTAGTTACGCCAGCCTCAGGCAGACCGTGCTGGGCACAGTTCAGCCCTCAAGCACCCCCAGACCAGACTGGTGGGGACACAGTTAGGTCCTGGAGCTCTGTCCCTGGCCTGTGAGCGCCTAGTGCAGAGCCACGGCTTCAGGGCTTTGAGAGAAGCAAAGAAAGCTGAGGAAGTCAAGGAGGGCTCCCTGGAGGAAGCCGAACTCCCAAGCAGAGAGCTCAGCTACTGACCTCCCCCACTCTTCCTTTTGCCGTTTTCCCCAGTACCTGGAACCCTGGCCGCAGCTAAGGCAGCCAAGTTCGGTAAGACCCCTCAACACACCACCCCCGGTGGGTGATCCCCTAGTTATCCCTGATAGCCCCACCATCCCTGATAGCACCCGGTCCCCCGACTCCTCTTCCCCTGGGCCAGGCCCCAGTGCCTGGAGCCTACAGCAAAGGGCTGGGATGGTCAGCATGGAAAAAGGCAGTTTCTAGGACACATTAATGACAGCTCCGCAGACTCCGGCTCCCGCTCACTAAATGCCTAGCGTGCCTACAGCCCCAGGACAACCCCAACCGCCCTTCCCATTTCCAGCCCCCACCCCCGGGGGTTGGGGCAGTTCCACCTTGGTGAGGACCATGGTCCCGAAGGCCCTGACAGTTTCACGGGGCCCAAGGCCAGCGAGGGGCCAGGGCTGATGTCCCAGCAAAGCCAGGACTCCTCATCTGGGCCCCCACCTTGCGATCAGCAGGACTGTGCCCGCCACGATGACGTGGCAGACCTGCCTGCCCCCATCCCCCGACACTTGGCACCTAGGCAGCCCCAGCCTGGCCAGACCATGCTGTCTGTGTCCCCCCGCATTCCGGCCTCCTAGGATCTGGGCCGGGGCCTCCGCCAGGGAACTGCCAACCAGGTCTGGCCAGTCCTCTTGGGACCAGTTTCCACCTTGGAAAGTGTTCCACCCGCAGCGGGCCTGGTAACCCACAGGCCTCTCTCCTGTTCCTTGCTGGCGGCCCTGCTGGTCTGAGCTCGACAGCCATTGCCAGGGAAACAGAGCCGCTAAGGGCTCTGGCTCCAAAATCATTTCCTGCCCTTGAAACCTTGAGCACATTGCTTAGCCTCTGCTGTGCCTCAGTTTTCTCATCTGTGAAATGGGGCTAATGATAACTACCTTTCTTGCTGCCTAGAACAATAAGCTGGCTAACAAGCATGAACCACTGACCATGAGTGTCCCCCTAAAGCGCTAGCTGTGATTCCTGGCAGCTCTGTACTGAACAGTGGTTCACACTCAGAGGACCTGCACACAGAGTGTCCTCTCAGGCTTCAAACACCTGTAGGTGAACAGGGAAAGGATCGTCGCCCCCTTTAGGGTCAGAGAGGTGACAGCTATGATGAGCAGAGAAACCAGAATTCAAACCCAGGGCTGTCAGGGCCTGAGACTTGTCCTCCACCCTTGGCAGCTCATGGCCAAAACCACCACTGGGACCACCTGCAGCTCCCAGTGCCAGCCTGGGAGGAAGGGGAGGAGGTGGGCACGTCGAGGATCGGGGGTGGGGGTCTTTCCTTGTCCAGTGGGTCAGGGCAGAGCCGGACTCAGACCCGTGTGTCTGGGAATGGACCTCTGCCCTCTGCTCCTTCCACTGGCTTTCGCCACCTGTCTACTTGCCTAGTGACCTTGGGGCGGGGAGGCCTCGTCCTTCAGAAAGGGGGAAGGACTGACTTTCCACCCTCTCTCCACAGCACCAGGAGGGGTCGGGGCCCTTGGAGGGATTGGAGATCTTGGTGGAGCCGGCATTCCAGGTGGTGTGGCAGGTGAGTTGAAACCACATGAAGCCTTGAGCACATTGCTTAACCTCTGCTGTGCCTCAGTTTTCTCATCTGTGAAATGGGGCTAATGGTACCTACCTTAGTTGAAACCCCAGGATGGGCTGGGCATTGAGGGAGACTGACCCATGGAGACTCCCTCCCTGAGCTCCCTCTGTGTCCCCAGGACCTGCTGCTGCAGCTGCTGCCGCCAAAGCTGCTGCCAAAGCCGCCCAATTTGGTGAGCATGGGTGTGAGGTGGGGGCTGCCCCGGGACTTGGGGATGTGTGTCTGACTACATGCCATGGAGCATATATTCCCTGGCCTGCTCCCCAAGGCCTTTAGGGGCATTGTCTCCGGCGGGTCTAGCCCACCTCCTGGCCCCTGGCTGCCAGCCCTCCAAGGCCCTGGCAGCCCAGGCTCCACGTGGGGCCTCGGATGATAGCCCCACCCCTCCGCGGACAGAGCCAGCTGCTCTCACTTGCAGGGTCTAATACACAGCTCTCTCCACAGGCCTGGGGGGAGTCGGTGGGCTCGGAGTCGGAGGACTGGGAGTTGGTGGGCTTGGAGCTGTCCCAGGGGCTGTGGGCCTTGGAGGTAAGTGTGTTCTAGAATCAGTGAATGAATGGCGTGTGATGTGTGTGTGTGTTTGCACACACATGCACACATGAATGAGAGAGAGACTGACTTTCTTTTCCATCTGGCCACACCTTGTTCAAGCGTCCCTGCCCACACTTCATCAGCAACTCAAGATTATACTGAGCCCTGCCCCCCTCTCTGGACTCCTGCAGCATTTGGAGGGGCCCCAATGGCTCAGCGGGTAAAGAGTCTGCCTGCAGTGCAGAAGACATGGGTTCGATCCCTGGGTTGAGAAGACCCCCTGGAGGAGGAAATGGCAACCCACTCCAGTATCCTTGCCCGGGAAATCCCATGGACAGAGGAGCCTGACGGGCTACAGCCCACGGGCTCGCAAAGAGTCAGACACGAGACTGAGCGAGTAAGCACAGAGCAGGCTTAGTGAGGGCTGCTCCTTGCGACTGGGTATCCCAATCTCTCCCTCTCCTCTCTCTCTCAACTCGCCCAACCACCTCCAGTGGAGGTTCATTAGGATAGTGATGGTTATGCCCATTTTCCAGAGAAGGAAAACAAAGCCTGCAGGGAAATTCCTTTCCCAAAGTCTCTGCCATCATGGTGGACCTTGTGTTAACATCCCTCTCTCGGGCCATCTTTGTGTCTCTGACCCAGCCTGAAGTTTCTTACCCCATGTGCTCCACAAGTCTGGCCACACTGTAGGAGCTTAATAAAGATTTCTGGAAAGATGGATGAATAGAGGAGGGGTGGAGGGATGGTGGAAGGATGAGACAGTGGGCACGTTGCAGATTGATGGCAGTGGTCAGGAGGAGGACACGACTCTGGGAGAGAGGAGATATTCCTAAGCCCTTCTGCTCCCCATCTTTCCAGGTGTGTCTCCAGCTGCAGCTGCTAAAGCAGCCAAATTTGGTGAGTTGCTCCCACTGTCCCCCGGCGAGGCCAGGCCTGCAAGCTGCTTATACCCCACCCCCACTGCCTTGTCCATGAACCAGCTCAGGCCTCAGTCCTGCTCACAATACCCGTGAAGGATCCTTCCTGGAAATCCCATCCCCAGACCCCGGAGAGGATGCTCAGGGCCCCTTACATTTTGCCTTGTCCTGACCCCTACCTGCCCTTGTCTCAGGTGCCGCTGGCCTTGGAGGTGTCCTAGGAGCCGGCCGGCCATTCCCAGTTGGAGGTAGGGGCCGCCTCTGCTGTGAGATCCGCAGCTGAGCCTGGCTGGCTAGCAGTGGGGACACCAGGCCTGCATCAGCACAGGGACCCAAGACAGAGGGTGGAGGGGACAGTCAGGGGAAGGCCTCAGGGCTGGGGGGACGCGTGGGCCTCCGACACCAGGCTGATGAGCTTTGTTAAGAAAGCTGCTTTGCCAGTGGGGAAGGGGCAGTGGGAGGAGGTGATCTTAGGTGGAGAGGAGTAGGTGGCCAGGCAGAGGTGGGTTCCAGGGTCCCATCCCATCCCACCCCACCCCACCCCACGCCCCCATACCCCCACGCCAACCCCAAACCCCTCCTGCAGGAGTTGCAGCAAGGCCTGGCTTCGGACTGTCTCCTATTTTCCCAGGTACGGCCAGGCGCCCCAGCCCTGGGCCCCACCCAGCCCTCCTCTTCCCCTGCCCAGAAGGGCTGAGCCAGGCTACAGAGTAGGGGGGGGACCCACATCCTTAGATTGCACAGAGCTGGGCCTTCTCTTCTCTTCCTCCCGTGCCATATCTGGGAGCATCGGATTTTATAAAACATCACGTTCAGATGAGACAAGCTGAGGTTCAGAGAGCACCCAGGGTCACACAGTCACTGGCAGGGCCCCCAACGCCCCAGCCCAGACCTGGGCCCCTCTCAGACGAGGCCCACGCTGCCGGGGAGGGCTTGGTGGGCTCCCTAGAGGCACACAGCCTCACCACCCCTCTGCTTGCCTTGCAGGTGGAGCCGGGGGCCTGGGAGTTGGTGGTGAGTCTACCAGTCTCACAAGTCGGGGCCCCATTTCAAGCAGGGGCCTGAGCTCCTTCGCAGTGTGTGTGGGGTGGGGGGGGGGATCAGGTCCATCCTGTTGAGGGAACAGCCAGTGCAGCCACAGCCCTGGGCTGGCCTTCTGGTAGGGGGGCTTGATAGAGCCTGCAAGAGAATCGCCGAAGCTGAAAAAGTCAGCCTTGGGGTGTGGGGACCCCAATTCCTAGAGCTCTCAGCCTGGCACTTGACTGGGCATCAGGAGTGAGACGGGGACCTGGGTCACACCAGGTCTTGGGGTCTAACCAGAGAGGTTGACAAGGTCCCATAGAAGAGGAAAGATACTGTTGGGTAAGAACAGGGCCTATTCAAGCAGGTGGGCAAGGAGGCTGAGCCTGGAGTCCCTCAGTGGTGGGGGGTGAGGCTGTCCCTGGGAAATGTGGCCTGGGGTCTGACTGTGGTGGGAGGGGCTGCCACAGAGCTGCTCAGACCTCCACATGCTGCAAGGAACAAGGCTGGGCGGGAGGGTCAGGCTGGGGGCAGAGAGGCCTTCGGAACCTGCTGCTGCAGGGTTGGAGGCGCATGGGTGGGGCAGGGGGTCGTCTGGCCGAGGTGGGGAAGCCTGGCCACCCCCCCAACCCCCTGCCTTCCCTCCACAGGCAAACCTCAAAAGGCCTTCGGAGGGGCCCTGGGAGCCCTGGGATTCCAAGGTGAGTAGACTCTGCCCCTGGAAGAGGGCGGTGGTGGGGGGGGGGGACAGCCTGGAGGAGGGGGCGGCATGTCAGATGAAGCCCGGCAGGGAGGCCAGGGGTGGGGGAGCTGGACCCCTTACCCACTGCTTCTGCTGTCTCCGAAACAGATCCTCAGAGCTGAGAGCGGGCCAGGGACCTTCTGGCTCTCCCAGGCCAGACCTGGCAAGCCCTCCCTGCCTGGTACCCACACCTGCGCTCCTGCCAGGAGAAGCCGAGAGAAAGGAAAGGGAGGGGGAGGAGGAGGGGCTGGGAAGGACAGAGGAGGAGAGAGAGGATGGAGGTGACACAGGAGCCCTGGTGTCAGGGGACTGGAGGGGTAGACCCCGCAGGGGTCCTGAAGCCACGCCCTTGCTCCAAGGGGCAGACGTGTGTCTGGCAGTGTCTGATCACCACCCTCAAGGCCTCTCCCAACGATGCCCGAAAGGGACTCAGAGAAGCCCCAGCTAGCTCCACCCTGGCAGTCGCTCAGGCTGTGGATTCCCTTCCACCCGCACCTGCTTCCCAACCGCCCAGACGAGGCAGCCCAGGGAGAGGCAGAGGCCAGAGCAGCCTGACCTCATTCAAGGCGCCCAGCTCTCAGTCGGGCACCGGCTGGTGCTCGTGGCCCGTGACCCTGCTTGCTTTCCCGAAAAACACCCTGGATGAGCTCGGCAGAGATGGCGTCTCTACCACTAGGCAGCTCGCTGCCACCAGGTGGCGGTAACGAGCCACACCGCGCTCCTGCAGCGGTAGGCGCTGGTCCAGGCCCCACTCACCCGACCCCGGGGGCTTGATGGCTTGAAATGAGGTTAACCAGTCAGATCCTCCCCAGGAGAGGGCAGGAGCCCTGCCACCGTCCACTTGCCCAGTGGGAGTTTGCCCAATGAAAGGGCGCGGAGTTTGGCCTGGGGTGGTGGCCAGGCTTCCCCCTGGCTTCCTGGAGCCTCTGTTTCCCATGCTGATGATGTGGATGTGAGAAGAGCTTGGGGCTGGGCAGAGTGGGCAAGGGCTTGAGCCCAAGCGGCCAGGACTGACTGTGGGGTGTGCCTCCCCTGCACCCAGGTGGGGCCTGCCTGGGGAAATCCTGCGGCCGGAAGAGAAAGTGAGCCCCCCGGGACCCCTGACTCACGACCTCATCAACGTTGGTGCTACTGCTTCGTGGAGAATGTAAACCCTCTGTGACCCCACCCCCCTTCCCCATGCCCCCTCCTAAGCTCCCACCCCGGGTGGGAACGGGGCAGGACGGGCGGCCTTGGAAATCCACAGGGCAAGGAGGCAAGAGAGTGGTGGCCAAGCGGGCCCCGGGAGGCCCCCCTCCTTCAGAGGCACGGGCTGGGTGGGCTTGGCCCCCTGCCCCCACGCCCTTCCCACCCAGGAACTCCCCCTTCATACGCTCTCCATCTCTAGGGGGACTTGGTGCTACACGCTGGTGCTTTCACTCTTCCTGCGGGGAGGGAGGAGGGAAGGGCAGCCCGTTAGGTAACCCCCTCCCTGGGGCTCCTCTGAAGATGGTGCAGACACTTCCTGGGCAGTCTCGCCTCCCCCTGCCCACCAGGACCCACTTCTGGCTGCGGTCCAGTTGGTACCCAAGCATAGAAACCCTCACGCTGGATTGGGTCATGCCATCTCTTGGCCTCCTTGGCCCCCCTTTCCCCGACCCATCGCTGTTCCCCATGTCCGAAGACTCCCCCCAACCCTGTATTGGGAACAGCCCTCTTGCTCTTGTGGAATTCATCCGCCCGTCTGTCCATCCGTCCGTCCATCCTTGTCCCGGTTTGGCCGCCCGGCACCCCTAGCTGGCTGGGCGCTCCCACCATCGACTCGGTTAACCTGTCGTGGCAGCCTGGGCCCAGCCTCCACCCCATCGCACACACCCCTACGAAGGGGCCCCGAGCCTCTGGGTGTGAGGAGCTGTACCAGCCGGGGCCACAGGAATCTCCCCCAACCTGGGTCTCCCCCCACGCAGTACTGTATCCCGACCCACCCTCGAGCCACTGTACTTCAGAGCATTCTCCCCTGCCCCGCCCATCTCTGTGTGTCTCGCTGTGATAGATCAATAAATATTTTATTTTTTGTCCTGGACATTTGGGGATTATTTTTGATTGTTGATGTTCTCCTTTCCTTTTACTTGTGTGGTTTACGGAAAAAACAAACAAACAAACAAAAAAACCTTTTTTTTTTTTCTGATATGGGGACCTATATCCCCGTTAGAAAATTCACTTTAATCACTTTGGTATAACTCTGGATGAAACACACATTTAAAAAAAAAAAAAATAAGAGAATTAACTGCTTCAGAAAAGACTAATAAATGAAAACCTTTTAAAGGAAACTGTGTCTTGGCCTCCTTTGTAAGCTCTCATCTGCCTTCAGTTCCCGGTCCAGGTAGGGAACAGGGCTCGGCCTTGGGGAACCTTAGGTCTTCCCAGGCGGCGCTTAGTGGTAAAGAATCTACCTGCCAATGCAGGAGATGCCAGAGACACAATTTCGATCCCTGGGTCGGGAAGATCCCCTGGAGAAGGGAATGGCAACCCACTCCAGTATTCTTGCCTGGAGCATCCCAGGGACAGGGAAGCCGGGCGGGCTACAGACCATGGGGTCGCAAAGAGTCAGACACGACTGAGCGACTAACACTTTCATTTTCAAACTTTTCCCAAAATCATCTGCCATTGACTTCTGGTGAAAGGATCCTTCTTCAAGTTCAGCCTGTCCTTTAAAAACGATAATCCCTTTCAGGGGAAGCAGGGCAGCCAGTCCGACACACTCATCCCTCCGAGGAGATGGGCTCACCCAGACACACATTCCCCAGCCCTCACCCCTCAGGCCCAGGTCCTTGGCCTCTGGATGCTGCAGCTGCAGCTGCAGCTGGATGACCGGAGGAAACAAAAATGACCCTTCTGTCCAGACCAAACCTCGACCTCGGTGAACAGCCAAGAGAGAAGAAATGCTCCAACCGAAGAAAAACAGAAGCCTGTTTCCCTCTCCACATCCCCTCACTGTCACACCTGGCATAAGGCACCACTTTGCTTCTTGACAAAACATAACAGATGGCACCCTGCTGGCTCAACAGGAGACTGAGTACCACCCTTGACTGCACCCGCTCCCCAGGGCCGTCCCCCTCCCCTCGTGGACACTCATCCATCTAGTATGAGGATGCCCCCCGTCCTGGAGCCCACCCCTCCCTTCTAGACTCTGGGTACCAGATTCCAAACTTCCCTCCCCAAACCACCAAGTCCACTTCCAGGGCCCATATGGACTCGCATCCATCCTCCCGAGAGAACCCCAGGGGCAGTGGGCACCCGGGGAGGAGCTGTGTTGGGAGTACGGGTGGGGTCTGCCCGTGTAGACGCTAGTGTCCGCACATCTGAGCACAAGGGCCCTCCTGCTGCCAGGAGTCTGGCTGGAAAGACAGGGGGTGGGGCGATGCTCGGGGACCTAGGCCCGGAGGGCAGCAGGGCACCGGAAGCAGTTTAGCAGGCCCAGAATCGCGCGGAGAGGAGGGAGGGCAGGCCGTCCAGGGAGGAGGAGCAGCCCCCTGAAGGCCCGCAGCGCCTGGCTGGAGCGGGCAGAGCCCCGGAAAAGTGGAGGAGGGGTCAGAGGGGGTAGGGGGTACGTTCGCAGAGACGAGGAGCCGCAGTGACCGGCAGTGAGGAGGGACAGCCTGCCCAAGAGCGGTGGCAAACGAGATCCATCCATCACTTATTTGTTCATCGAAAAGATCCCTTGCTCATTCTTCCACAAGCTCTCCAGACTCTGAGATTTGGCCAGCTCCAGCATTCAGCCCTGGGGCCCCCCTGTTTTGGTTTCCCATAATTTATGGCTTTAAATACCATGTGTGCATTAGCAGTTCCCAAACTGATTCCTCCAGCACAGACCTCTCCCCTGAACTCTGGACTGGCACGTTCACAGCCAGTTCCTAACATCTCCACCTGAAAGTCTCATAACCTGAGTAGCATGGGTTCCCCCCTCCCACCCCGCACCATAACCTGCTCTCCCCTGCCCCTCCCCACCTTCCCCATCTCAGTTCCGGGGGTTCAGGCAGCAGCTTAGGAATCCTCCTCTGCTCCCATTTCACACACTAGATTCACCAGCAAACCCCAGGGCACCACCTTCAGAGGGTGACCCAACCACCCCTCCCAACCTCTAGGGTCCAGGTCCTCGTCCACAGTAACTCTTGCCTAGACGACTGACAAGGCTTCCAAACTGGGCTTCCCCATACTGACCTGGCTCCTTTTCAGCCTTCTCTTCACACAGCAGCCAAAACAATCCCTTTAAAACAGAAAGTCAGCTCAGGTCATGCATCTGCTCAAAATCCTGCAGTGGCTGCCGTCTGCCCAAGCAGAGGAGCCCCTTACCTGAATTGGACCAGCTGTTCTGATCTCGTGTCCTGCTACCTGGCCCCCTGCCGGCCACCCAATTACCCTGCCCTGTCCCCACTCCTCGCGGGCAGTGGCCAGCCCCTCTCCGGCCACCAGCTCTGCTGTCTCCCCTGCCCAGAACGTCCTTCCCTCCGCTATCAACATGCTTGGCCCCTCACCTCCTTCAGGTCTTGACTCAAAATGCCACCTTCTCAGAAGGTGCTTCCCTGACCCTGTTTCTGAAATTGCAAACTCTAGGGAATTGCCTGGTGGTCCAGGGGCTGCCCTGGTAACTCAGCTGGTAAAGAATCCGCCTGCAGTGTGGGAGACCCCAGTTCAAGTCCTGGGTCAGGAAGATCTACTGAAGAAGGGATAGTATTCTTGTACTTCCCTGGTGATCCAGCTGGTAAAGAATCCGCCTGCAATGTGGGAGACCTGGGTTTGATCCCTGGGTTGGGAAGATCCCCTGGAGAAGGGAGTGGCTACCCACTCCAATATTCTGGCCTGGAGAATCCTATGGACTATACAGGCCATAGGGTTGCAAAGAGTCAGACACGACTGAGCAACTTTCACTTTCTTTTCCAGTGGTTAGGGCTTCCCAGGTGGCGCTATTGGTAAAGAACCCACCTGCCAAAGCAGGAGACAGGAGCCCACATGACTGAAGCTACCGAAGTGGTTAGGACTCCTGACTTTCACTGCTGAGGGCAAAAGTTCAGTCCCTGATTGGGGAACTGAGATTCCACAAACCGCACAAAATACATTTATTAATTAATTAAATAAAATTGCAAACTATACCTTCCTCCAACACTAGCCCTGCCTTCTCTTTCTCCAGGCACCCGTGACCAACGCCCACTGTCATGCCACGGTGTAACAGTACACTTCGCTGTTGTTGTTTAGTCATTAGGTCGTGTCTGACTCTTTGCAACCCCATGGACTGTAGCCCGCCAGGCTGCTCTGTCCATGGGATTTCTCAGGCAAGAATCCTGGAGTGGGTTGCCATTTCCTTCTGCAGGGGATCTTCCTGATCCAGGGATGGAATCCACGTCTCCTGTGTTGGCAGACCGATTCTTTACCACGGAGTCATCAGGGAAGCCCAGAGTACACTTTGCTTCTTTGTTGATTGTCTGACTATCCACACCAGAATGCAACTCCCTGAGGATAAACCTTGTTGTAAGAACAAAAGAGATTAAACTCCCTGCTTTCACTAGTTATACACGCTGGGAGAGAGATGGTGATTTAGTCGCTAAGTCATAGCTGACTCTTGAGACCCCCATGGACTGTAGCCTGCCAGGCTCCTCTGTTCATGGGACTCTCCAGGCAAGAATATTGTGCCAGGCTGATAATAGTCTCAAAGAGACCTGGGTCCTAATCCCTGAAACCTTGTAAATATCACTGTTAGTAGTGTATTCAGGCTGCCATAGCAAAGTGCCACAGGCTGCAAAAATTTATTTTCTCACAGTTCTGGAGGCTGGAAGTCCAAGATCAAGGTGTCTGCAGGGCCAGTTTCTCCTAAGGCCTCTCTCCTCAGTGTGCAGGTGGCCACCTTCCACCTGGGTCCTTGCATGATCTTCCCTTTGTGCATATATGTCTCCTAACCTCCTCTTCTTATAAGGACATCAGTCACAGTGGATTTGAGCCCATTCTGACAAACTATTTTTATTTTAATTCTTGTATTCTTTTCATTTTTTGTGTATTTTTTTTTCAGTATTGATTTATTTGGCTGTACCGGGTCTTAGTTGCTGTGTGAGGGCTCTTAGTTGTGGCATGGGGGAATCTCAGTTCCCTGACCAGGAATCGAACCTGGGCCCCCTGCATTGGAAGCGTGGAGTCTTAGCCACTGGGCCACCAGGGAAGTCCCTGATGACCTCATTTTAAGCTAATCGCCTCTTTAAAGATTCTATCTTCAGACACAGTGACATTCTGAGAAGCTGGGGGTTGGGACTTCGACATATGAATTTTAAGGGACATGGATTTTAAGCCCATGGCAGCTACCTTATAAGAAAAAAGAGCTTTTGTAGATGTAATTAAGAATCTTGAGATGAGGATATTATCTCGATGGGCCCTAAATGCCATCACAAGTATCCTTAAAAGAAGCTGGGAGACTTGTATGCCAACAAATCGAATAACCTGCAAGAAATGAATAAATTCCTAAAAACACACAATCTGCCAAGACTGAATGGTGAAAAAAATAGAAAATCTGAACAGACTAATGGCAAGAAAGAATGAATCAGTAATCAATCCTCCCAACAAAGAAAAGCCAGGACCAGATGGTTTCACTGGTGAATTCTACCAAATATTTAAAGAAGAATTTATACCAATTCTCCTGAAACTCTTCCAAAAGACTGAAGAGGAGAAACAGATCCAAGTTCATTCTAAGAGGCCAGCATTACCCTGATACCATTTCGTTACTCTGAAAGCCAGACAAAGATACCACAAGAAGA